CTTGTAGAGATATTAAATAAGCATTTTTTAAAAAATGCTTTATTTGTAACATTTGGCCCCTTTTGGCTTTGATCTAATCTAAATAGGTCACAGTGAGGTCACTGGAGGCCATAAATCAGGGGTGGACTAGTGGCTAAGAGCCTGCATATCTTTAGTGCAATGTGCTATTTTAGTTTGTGCCCCTGAAATGACACCATCTCTTTGGCACCAGCCAAAGAAGGCTTCCTAGACATCTATGGGAAGAGATTGTTTTGCAGTAATCCAAAGCAGAGGTCACACAGGCATGAATTACTGTGGGGAGGTCTGTGTCTGCATCCAGACCCTGTGACAAAGAAAGCAGGGAAAATGACTTCCAAGGGTGGAAATTGATCCAAGCAACTTTGTCAAATCATGAAAACAAAGAGTGACAAACTCTTTTCCACCAAGGAAACCAGGGCGACTTCTTCCTGCCCCTCCTCCAATTTGGTTACTTGTGTTCACTTGAGACCCCCAGATATGGATGTTTTGGAGAAAGGCCCATCATAGCTAAATAACAGCTATTATATTCATATGATATAAAACATGCCACAATCAAGAAAAAGTTCCATCTCTTTCTAGCCAAAGTGCAGACACTTTTAATAATTTTCCCATAGAGCATATCACTGAACCAGTCTGAACTTTGAGGATTTATTGGTTTTATACATAATTGTAATTTAATCTCATCTTCCTTTCTTCCTTCTTTCTTTTAATTTTGGTAAGGGCATATGTAATTCAGTAAACAACATCAAAATATACTAGACTACAACAGATTGCATAATTGTTTACGTTTTTTTTTTTAATTTAGCTTGTCTTCCAAAAAGACAGAAAGTGGACATCTATTCTATTTACAATTCTTTTTTTGACAAATCTTTTGCAATTTTCTTGCTCTCTCTGAACTAAAGTTCCCTTTGAAAGGGAAATTTTGTTAATTTACTTGGCTTGGGGAAAGGAGAGAGATTTGGTTCAAAGTGAGTTGCATGTTTTTCCAACTATCTGTTGGTCTCTTTAAGAGTAACAGGCAGCTAATGTTTGAGGGGACTTCTTTTTGCCAGTTCATCTCCATCTGGGAGATTTCTCCTTCACTGGGGAGGTTGAAACAACTTCCTAGATCCTATACACAAGATCCAGGATAGAAAAACTGTTCTCATGCTATGCTGCATTATACCAGCTCTGGAGAACATTCGAAGGTCTGGCAAAGCTTTGCAGGTTTCTGTGGTCTTTCTAGAAGAGAGATCTTATGCGAGTGTTCAAGGAGTATATGAGCCTGATAAATACTTTGCATATATAACTGTGAACTCGTAGTCTTTTATTATTTTAATTATTGCACTTGTCAACAGATTACTGAGCAGTGCTGACGATGGAGGCAGTGAGGGCTTCTGGTTCTAAGGAAAGAAGCAACTGCAACTTTAACTTGGGTCAAGGAGTAATTTTGGCTGCTAAACTAACAATTGACTACCTGGATAACTCTTTCATCCCACACATTTATTCTGTTCTGTTCTTGAAAGCTGGCCAAGGGCCTCCACTGTACCTGACACTTTTTTTCTGTTTTTCTATCATCATCATCATCATCATCATCATCATCATCAAATTGTTGTAGTTATCATTACTATTATTATCCATCCAGCTATTTCAACTAACCAGGCTGGCTGTCAAGAAGGCACAGTGACAAAACAGATGAAAGCCCTTTAATTTGGTAAGTTTGAAACAATATGGGAAAGGAGACTCTAATTCCAGTTTACTGGTTTTATAATACCTTAGTAATCAAATCAATCATTTCCCCGAGAAAGAATGAAGCCTACCCGATAGTAACCATTTTCTAACTGGCAGGATAATGTTGGTGATGCTTGGAAAGCAAACCTGGGATGCTGTGTGTGTGTGTGTGTGTGTGTGTGTGTGTGTGTGTGTNGAGAGAGAGAGAGAGAGAGAGAGAGAGAGAGAGAGAGAGAGAGAGAGAGAGAGAGAAGAGGGGAGGGGAAGGGAAGGGAGGGTAAAGGAGGGGAGAGGAGAAGAAGGAAATAAATATTGGAGTTTCTGGTGGGTAGGTAGATGATCTCTCTCTCTCTCTCTCTCTCTCTCTCTCTCTCTCCACACATACACACACACACCATATGCAACTCTCGCCTACAACCAAAGCAGCTACACACCAATGCTTCCTCATTCTGTGAACCTTAACATTTTTTTTTCAACCACAGAAAACAATAGCTGAAGCAAACAGGATCTCAGAAAGGCAGTTAAACAATATGTTGTGAGCATGACTCATTTTTTTCTTCCAAGACCTTCATGTGGTACATAAATCTAAATGAACTTATTTTTACTTTTAATAACCAAATGGGCCTAAATTCCAAATCTGTGTTCCTTTAGGGGGAAATGGACCTTTAAGAATGTGTCCATTGCAAGGAAATATGGTTGCCTTAGTAACAAGCTCCTGGGCATTTTCCTTCTTTTATGTTAGAGAAAGCTGTACCAGAAGCTTTTTGCTTTCTTAGGCATGCTAAGAGAGCTGAAAGCATGGATGACACCTAGAACAAGCATGAATGCCTCTAGGTATATGTAATCTGGGCAGAAAGAATTAAGTAAGAATGCTGGAGGTTAAAAAATGATATCTTAGTGAATATATACTCAACCCTCTTGTTTTTGATGAAGAATAAGGCCCAAAGAGGATGAATGGCTTGTGCAAGATCTTATAGCCATGTAATAGCAGGTGCAGATCTACAATGCAGACTCCTAACTTCTCCAGGGCTGTTTCCACTCTATCGGACCTCTGAAAAGTTGTTTCTAAACTCAGTCTCTGTAAATAAATCCTATTTTGAATATACTAGGTTAACCAGACATGAAAAAACTCTGAGCTGAATCCCCTGTACACATCACTTTCCAACCTACTCTATAAAGCCTTTTTGTGAATACATAATAGGAGTTAGTATTTATTGAGCGCTTACTATGTTCTAGGCAAAACACTTTCCTTGTAACATTTAATCCTTACACTGCCCTATGAGGTTTGTACTCCAATTTATAAGTGAGTAAACTAGGGAACAGAGAGATTAAGTAACCTACTCAAAGTCACAGAGTGAATTAAGTGGCAAAGCCCAGGCAGTGCAAATCCAGAGACGAAGCTCTTGACTGTTACCCTGCACAGAGCTTGCCTAAAATGAGGGACCTCCTGATCAAGCTGTCACATCAACTGGCAAACGTGAGCCATGACTCTGAAAACCAAACACACAAAAAAACCGGATGTTGGATTTACAAGGATTCTCTATCTGATCGTTGAAGATTACGTTAACTGAGATAATCAGTCTGGAAAGTATAAATCATGTCATATGTGAAGTGCAATGCAAATCTTAGGAATCTATTATGAAGATAATCTGTACAACCCAATAGGTACTGCTGTCCTAATTCACCACTGAGGAAACTGAGGTTCAGTTTAGCAAGTTAAATAACTTGCTTAAATTGCTCAGGTAGTACAAAGCACAATGAGAATTTGAATCTGAATTTTGTCTGTCTCCCAACTTGACTCTTCACCGTGCCTGCTGAGTTTAAAACAACCACCTCAATACTCATGAATGCTCAAGATACTCTACAGGCTCATCAAGCATGCTGTACTGCAGTCTGACCTCTGAGAGGTGGGGTGCACACAATCCATAGTGTTAGCTTCAGTCTCTAGGTGGCTCTCTTGAGCACCGTCGCCAGATGTAAAAGAGAAAAACCCCTTTGGGGCAGGAAATGTGCCCTGGGCATTTTGGAGTCTGGGTGAATAATTACCAACTTATCCAATCTAGCCTTAATGCCCTAGTTGTGAACGTTTTTTAAGCCCTGAGGGGAGTAAATATCTAAGTAGGTATAACCACAGAAAACATCTTCAAGTACGAGTGGAAGCAAAGCAACAGAGCGTAAGTCAAACTTCAAGTGGCTGTAAATACTGTCCTCAGAGTAAAGCAAAAGACTGAGAACTTGGCAAACAGAAGCGAAGCTCCAGTAGATATTCTTCAAGCTGATTTAGGTTGTGATAAAACTCAAATTATGGTTTTAGATATTTCTGAAGCTAGAACAAAATAATGGAAAGACAGACATCAAAATGTTAAAAGTATTTATACCCTAGATGATTAGATTGCAAGAGAGTCTTATTATGTTATACCCTTTAAATTTTCTTCAATGAACTTGTATTGCTTGGGTAATCCCCCAAAATTTACTCGTGCGCCTTTAACAAATTACTTGATAGAGTTTTTTTTTTAATTACTAGATATGGTTTCTTATGGAAAACAACCAAATTTATGAGGTCCATGAGTCCAGATCACTGTTTATTCAGACAGCTCCAAATTCTAGAAAAACTCTTGCCTGTTGGCCAATTTCATAGGCAGCATTTGAACAAGAAAGCTGTAGATGAATAGATTAGCTACTTAAAATTGCAAACCTTACAGCCACTCCATAGGTCTACCTGTGGAAGAGCAGAGAAAGAAGAAGGAATACTAAGGTGGTGCTGGTGGGTGTCAGAAGATAGCATGGCTGCAGCACCCCTGCCTAAAACAAAAGGAAAAGGGAGAGGCAGGGAGAGTTGGGGTCCGGGAAAGAGTGAGAGATGCAATGGCGGAGAGCCCGGGCAGTACAGATCAAAGCTGTAGGATACCATGGGGGAACCAGTCTGATCCATTTGTCCAACTGCTACTCTAGCAACCTCGCTGTGTGCTTCCCTCCAGAGCTAGACAAAAGAGCACTGAAGAGGAATAAGGAAAGATTTAGTACTAAATTACAACCTAAACTTAACCTTATCTAGTCATGACAAACACACACAAAAGGAATATGGAGAAACCATTCCATTCTTTTGTACTCTGCTTTGCCTTATATTCTTTGAGTGCCTAGATTGATATCTGCAACCACCATCCCATCCAGAATTCATTCAAGGTCCTCAAGTCCTTGCCCAAACCGGCTGATGTTTCCTGTAGTGTCAGCAAAACAGACTAAAATGGTTCCCGTAGGAAACACCTGTTTACCTTCACCAAAAATATCATCCTCTTCATCGACCAGGAGCTCCTCAGGGTCCAGAGACTGCATCTTGGAGAGAGCAGTCAGCGTGTGGCAGTGGCAGGCAGTCTCAGCTGCAGCCCAGGCCACCCCAGCAGCAGCCTCTGCCGTCCCAGCTGCCACACTGCCCCTGGGGCGGTTTCTTTTCTCGGTTGCCTAAACCCTGAGGAGGGCAGCTTCCGCATCAGCCTTTAGAAAGCAGGTTCATTCATATGAACAGGCTTCAAGAGCCTTTTGAAGCATGCATTCCAGGTGGGGTTATTCTCACCACTGAGAAAAAGGAGTTTTTCTGGAAGGGGGCTGCAGATTCGATGAGATCTAAACACAGATATCTCTTGAAGTCTGAGCACAATGAATTCTATTTCAAAGCCACAACTTTCATATTTTCTTAAAGAGGAAGGTGGGCTTTTAACTGTCTTATGAATCTGAACACAATGGGTTATGTTGAAAGACAGGGGTTCACATTTCTCCTATCTTGGTTTTGCTTCAGTGACAATTTATCTGAAAGAAAAGCAAGCCAAGCTACTATGCTAAATCAATGCCGGCATTTGGAGGGACAGAGCTTTCATTTTCTCAGTAATAGCTGTCTTTTTCAGTGAAAACCTCTTGCACTTGAAGATTAGAAACTTTACAACACTTAAACCCAATTTAACATATATCTAGGCTCTTACTGGCTCAATTCAATCTATGGTCAATAAATAGATAACTAGTTTGTGTCAAACAAGTTCCATTTTACAATACTTCATCGGTGTGATTCTTCAGACTTTATAGCTAAAGGAGAAAGGAGAAAATGTAACTCAACAGGCAGCTCCTCCCAGAGGGAGGAGTAACCCCTGAACTTCTGCATGAGTTCCAGGGGCCAGCATCACTGTACTCAACTATCCTAAGTGTGCTGAGTTCTGTATGAACTCATCTCCGAGTGATGACAACACAAATCTCCGAGTGATGCTGCAATTTCATTTGGGGGTTTCCCAGCGCTCCTCCATGGTGTTATAAGACCTCTCAGGTAGCCAGGAGCTCAGAAAATGCAAATGGAGATGATGGTGGGGAGCTGTTGACCCAAGGTATTTACTTCTGGCAACTTTATTTACTGAATAGGTTTTTTAAAACTATATGTTAATATAGCTTTAACATATTTCCTTTATTTTTTGGAGCAGTTTTAGGTTCACGGTAAAATTGAGTGGAAGGTACAGAAGTTTTCTGTATACCCTCTGCCCCCACACATGCATAGCCTCCCCCATTATCGGTATCTCCATCACAGTGGTACATTTGTTACAATTGATTAATCTACATTGACATGTCATTATCACCCAGAGTCATCGTTTAACTTAAGGCTCACTCTTGGTACTGTACACTCTGTAGGTTTTGACAAATATAAAGTGACATGTGTCTATTATTATAGTATCATATAAAGTAGTTTTAATGCCCTAAAAACCCTGTGTTCTGCCTATTCATCTACCCCCCAAACCTCTGGCAACTACTGATCTTATTGTCTCCATAGATTTGCCTTTTCCAGAATGTCATATAGTTGGAATCATAGGAAATGTAGACTTTTCAGATTGGCATCTTTCACTTAAGGTTTCTGCATTTAAGGTTCCTCCATGTCTTTTACGACTTGGTAGCTCATTTCTTTTTAGACCTGAATAATATTCCATTGACTGGGTAAACCAGTTTAGTTATCCATTCACTTGCTGAAGGGTATCCTGATTGCTTCCAAGTTTTGGCAGTTATTAGTAAAGCTGCTATAAACATCTGTGTGCAGGTTTTTGTGTGACATAAGTTTTTAACTCACGTGGGTTGTAAGGTAAGAGTATATTAGCTTTTCTAAGAAACTGACAAAACTGTCTTTCAAAATACCATGTTGCATTCCCACCCACAATGAATGAGAGTTCCTATTGCTCCACCCCCTTGCCAGCATTTGGTGTTGTCAGTGTTCCGGATTTTGGACATTCTAATAGGTATGTAGTGGTATTTCATTGTATTAACAAGTGCTTTTGAAGAGCCTCTTTGTGCTGCTCTCCAAGCTAAGAACCTGTCCCCTCCTCCTTTAACTGCACCCTTGAAATTATACCAGCTTCTCCAAAGGGAGGATACGAAAAATGGGGCTGGAGAAATCCAGTCATGAGAAAGGACCACCCCAGAGGAATTCTAGTCATTCAGTCATGAAGAGATACCTGAGTCCCAGCAGTGGGCTCCCCACTCTGCTGGTTGCTGGTGGGCTCCCAAAGACTGTGTGCAGCCTGGGGCCTGCTGGAACCTCCAGTCCTTCTCAGTCATGGCTGGGGCCATCCTTAGTGGGGAGAATTTTGAAATGTGTGGGTGTTTTGGGTTGCACAATAACTGGGGGGTATTACTGGTATTTAATGTCTTGGTAACCTTTCTGCAATGCATGGGACAGCGGCTCAAGAGGAAGAACTGTTCAGCCCCAAATGCCAAGAGTGCCCCTCCCCCACTTGAGAAATACTGGGAGGCAGACAGCTACAGTTGATACCTTCCTTTAGATCTCCTTTCCTTCCCTCCTTTCTGACCCTCCACCACTCCCCAACCCCAGTGCACTCAAGGGCTGCACTGAACGATCTAAATTAAATTAATTAAAATGAGCCTGAATTGTAAAACGGTGTAGCCAGTGATGGACTATAGTAGAAAGGTTCCTAAAAAAAAAAAAAAAAAGAACTACCACATGATCCAGCAATCCCACTTTTGGGCACGTATCCAAAAGAATTAAAATGAAGGTCTTGAACTGATACTTGTACTGTCATGTTCATTGCCGCATTTTTCACAAGAGTCAAATATGGAAACAACCTGCATATCTGCAATGGATGAATGAATAAAGAAAATGTGATATATATCTTAAAAAACAAGGAAATCCTGTCATATGCTAGAACATGGATGGACACTGAGGACATTGTGCTGAATAAAACAAGCCAATCCCCAAAAGACAAATACTGTAAAATTCCCTTTATGTAATGTGTCTAAAGTAGTCAAATTCATGGAAACAGAAAGCAGATTGGTGGTTGCCAGGGGCTGAAGGGAGGGAAAATGGGGAGCTGTTCAGTGGGCATAGAGTTTCAGTCACACAAGATAAAAAAGTTCTAGAGATGAGTCCTTCAACATTGTGCATATATATAACAATCCTCTACTATAGACTTAAAAATTAATATTGTAAATTTATGTTATGTGTTTATCATATAAAAAAATTGTCCCTAATGTAGAAAATATGGATGTGGATTGGAGCTGCATTTGCTGTAGCTGGGATGAGAGGATGGGTGTCAGTTTTGGTCATTATTACATTTCTCACCCATTGTTCCATGTCCTTTAATCTTCACAACCTCACGAGTGGGTGCTATTATCTCATTTTGTAGATGAAACAATGGGAATCTGAGAGCTTACATAACTTTCCTGAGAGCATACAGCTAGTCAGTGACAGATTGGACTAATGCCAGAACTCATACCATTACCTCTCATCAAAACAGCTTTATGGAGGGCCGGCCGAGTGGCGCGATGGTTAAGAACTCGCTTGGGATGCCAGAGGGCCCCGGTTCGGATCCCACATATGAGGGCCAGTGACACTGCCCTCCACAGCTAAGATGCTGAACAACAGCTCAACCTGGAGCTGGGCTGCCGTGAGTCGCTGGCGACGGCGTGGGCTGCAGTCCCTGTGGCAGTGGATTGCCATGGGCTACCGTGTGTAGCCAGCAGCCAGCGTGAGCGGCCAGCAGCCGCAGTGAGCGGCCGTCCAGAGGCCAGCGACTGATCTGCCTCGCCAGAGAAGAGCGCAATGATGGTGCCAACTTGGGCCAGTGAAGCAACGTCCTCCACAACTAGACTGAAGAACAAAACGACAGCAACTTGTCTGTTCCCCTTTCCCCAATTCCCCAGCACTGTTCCCATCCCCCCAATTTCCCAATAAAAATCTTTAAAAAAAAAAAAAAAGAAAAAAAGGAGCAGGCAAAACAAAAAACAAAAAACAAAAAACAGCTTTATGGAGTGACTGCAGGTGACCTGGGTCACCGCAGCATTTCGGTGGCTCTTGGAGATCTGCACCATTTCCATTCCCTCCCACCTCAGAACCACCAGGTTACCATATTAACCCTGGGGTCCCCAGCCATTCCACTTCAGTAAGTTAGCATAACCTCTCTAGGCTTATTTCCTTATCTTTAAATGGAAAAAATAATATCTTCTAGTTATGGGTTGAATTCCTGAACTCCCAATTCATATGTTGAAGCCCTAACCTCCAGTACCTCAGAATGTGACCTTATTTACAAATAAGGCCATAGCAGATGTAACTGGTTAAGATGAGGTCATACTTGGATACAGTGGGCCCCTAATCCAATATGACTTGTCTTTATGAAAAGGGAAAATTTGGACACAAGAAGAATGTATGTGAAAATGAAGACAGAGATCTATAAGCCGAGGAACACTGCCAGCAAACCACCAGAAACTGGGAGAGAGGCATGGAACAGATCCCCTTCCACCGCCTCAAAGGGAACCAACCCAAGATCAAGACACGCTGATCTTGGGCTTCTAGCCTCCAGAACTGTGAGACAATACATTTCTATTATTTAAGCCACCTAGTTTGGGGTACTTCGTCAAAGCAGCTCTAGCAAACTAATATACTTCCTCTTTTGGCTTGCTTTGAGGATTAAATAGGATAATTCACGTAAAAGAACTGACACGGCACATGGCTCACTGTACATACTGAGTTATAATTATTTAACTTAAATGTCTTACAGGGCAGCTTGGGCCATTTCTCCGATTGGAGCCTCGGTGGGAACAGAGAATGAGCAGTCACCATGCTCTGTAAAAATCTCAGTAACCCTTGATAAGTTTCTTAGTCTTCTCTGTTTCAACTTAGAGATTTGAAAAACATAGTTAACAATCTCAAAGGACAAATCACAAATGCCAACAAGAAAGAACGTCTTGAAAGCAGGAATATAAAAAACAGGGTCCTTGCTCTCCAAAGCTCATGATCACCATACAGAGATAAGGCATATGCACCATGTGTGAGCTAAGAAGGAAAATGAATGAGCTACAGATGCACACATCAATATGGATAAATTTTAAAACATAATGTTGACTAAAAACGTCTTCTAAAGATATCTGTAGTATGATTCTATTTATATAAATGTCAAAAATGGGC